ATATATAGTTAGTCTGAGGCAGTGGAACAGGGATCCTTAATGACAATTTATATATAGGGTACAGGGATCCTTAATGACAATTTATATATAGTTACAGTCTGTGGCGGTGGTAGTATATATAGTTATAGTCTGGCGTGGTGGTACAAGGATCCTTAATGACAATGTATATATATTTACAGTCTGTGACAGTGGTACGGGTAACCTTAATGACAATTTATATATAGTTACAGTCTGTGGCAGTAGAACAGGGAACCTTAATGACAATGTATATATAGTTACAGTCTGTGACAGGGTACAGGTAACCTTAATGACAATTTATATATAGTTTGTCTGTGGCAGTGTACCAGGGATCCTTAATGACAATTGTTATATAGTTTAAGTCCGTGGCAGTGGTAAAAGGAACCTTAATGTCAATCTATATATAGTTACAGTCTGTAGCGGTGGTACAGGGATCCTTAATGACAATTTATATATAGTAATAGTCTGTGGAAGTGGTACAAGGATCCTTAATGACAGTGTTTATATAGTTACAGTCTTTGGCAGTGGAATAGAGAACCTTAATGACAATGTATATATAGTTACAGTCGGTGACAGGGGTACAGGTAACCTAAATGATAATTCATATATAGTTACAGTCTGTGGCGGTGGTACAAAGATCCTTAATGATAATTTATATATAGTTATAGTCTGTGACAGTGGTACAAGGATCCTTAATGACAATTTATATATAGTTAGTCTGTGGCAGTGGAACAGGGATCCTTAATGACAATTTATATATAGCTACAGCCTGTGACAGGTGTACGGGGAACCTTAATGACAATCTATATATAGTTACAGTCTGTGACAGGGGTACAGGTAACCTTAATGACAATTTATATATAGTTTCAGTGTGTGGCAGTGGTACAGGGATCCTTATTGACAATGATTATATAGTTATAGTCTGTGGAAGTGGTACAAGGATCCTTAATGACAATTCATATACAGTTACAGTCTGTGGCAGTTGAACAGGGATCCTTCATGACAAATTTTATATAGCTACAGTCGCTGACAGTGGAACAGGGATCCTTCATGACAATTTATATATAGTTACAGTCTGTGACAGTGGTACAAAGATCCTTAATGACAATGTTTATATAGTTATAGTCTGTGGCGGTGGTACAAGGATCCTTAATGACAATGTATATATATTTACAGTCTGTGACAGTGGTACGGGTAACCTTAATGACAATTTATATATAGTTAGTCTGTGGCAGTGGAACAGGGATCCTTAATGACAATTTATATATAGTTACAGTCTGTGACAGTGGCACGGGGGACCATAATGACAATGTTTATATAGTTATAGTCTGTGGCGGTGGTACAAGGATCCTTAATGACAATGTATATATATTTACAGTCTGTGACAGTGGTACGGGTAACCTTAATGACAATTTATATATAGTTAGTCTGTGGCAGTGGAACAGGGATCCTTAATGACAATTTTTATATAGCTACAGTCTGTGACAGTGGCACGGGGAACCTTAATGACAATTTATATATAGTTATAGTCTGTGACAGTGGAACAGGGATCCTTAATGTCAATTTGTATATAGCTACAGTCTGTGACAGTGGCACTGGGAACCATAATGACAATTTATATATAGTTAGTCTTTGGCGGTGGTACAAGGATCCTTATTGACAGTTCATATATAGTTATAGTCTGTGGCAGTGGTACAGGGATCCTTAATGACAATTTATATATAGTAACAGTCTGTGGCGGTGGTACAGGGATCCTTAATGACAATTTATATATCGTTATAGTCTGTGGCAGTGGTACATGGATCCTTAATGACAATTTATATATCGTTATAGTCTGTGGCAGTGGTACATGGATCCTCAATGACAATTTATATATAGTTATAGTCTGTTACAGTGGTACAAGGATCCTAAATGACAATGTATATATAGGTACAGCCTGTGGCAGTGGTAATCCTTAATGACAATTTATATATCGTTATAGTCTGTGGCAGTGGTACAATGATCCTTAATGACAATTTATGTATAGTTTGTCTGTGACAGTGGCACGGGGAACCTTAATGACAATTGATATATAGTTATAGTCTGTTGCAGTGGTACAAGGATCCTAAATGACAATGTATATATAGTTACAGCCTGTGGCAGTGGTACAGGTAACCTTAATTACAATATATATATAGTTACAGTCTGTGGCAGTGGGACAGGGATCCTTAATATCAATTGATATATAGTTACAGTCTGTGGCAGTGGGACAGGGATCCTTAATATCAACTGATATATAGTTACAGTCTGTGGCAGCGTTACAAGGATCCTTAATGACAATGTATATATAGTTACAGTCTTTGGCAGTGGCACGGGGGACCATAATGACAATTTATAGAAAGGTATAGTCTGTGACAGTCGTACAGGTAACCTTAATGACAATTTATATATAGTTACAGTCTGTGACAGTGGTACAGGGATCCTTAATGACAATGTATATCTACTTACAGTCTGTGGCAGTGGCACGGGGGACTATAATGACAATTTATATATAGTTATAGTCTGTGACAGTCGTACAGGTAACCTTATTGACAATTTATGTATAGTTACAGTCTGTGACAGTGGCACGGGGAACCTTAATGACAATTGATATATAGTTATAGTCTGTGGCAGTGGTACAGGGATCCTTAATGACAATGTATATCTAGTTACAGTCTGTGGCAGTGTTAACCAGCTTGTTAACCAGTTGATTGCCATGTCGTTATATGCTGTTAACATGTCTAAACTATTAGTCAGGACATGTATATACGTTCATCAGAATATAAATGTCACTAGCATACATAACGATATGGACATTTACATACGTTCATAAAAATATAAATGTCACTAGCATAACGATATGGACATTTACGTACTGTGAACAAGTTACAGTTAAAGGGACACTTACACGAATCTGGAAAAATCAAAACTCGTTGCCCGTACTTTTAATGTACTTGAAATAAATAAGATAAACTGTATATTTTTGTTAAAAAGAATTGTTTGTGGCCAGCTATACACGGGCCACAATGGCCAGCTATACACGGACAACTATATGTGGCCACAATGGCCAGCTATACACGGACAACTATATGACCGGATTCCTGGCCTGACCTCTTATCGATGATTAACTACACACAGATCAAGTACTTACTACAACTGATAAACAGATATATAGCTACCTGTCTGTTCATAAACCAGTGTTTTCGTCCATTTACAAAAAGACGCAAGGACTATTTTTCTCTATGTTTTGAAAATTAACAAAACCCACTATTGTTTACGACTGTTATGCTAATGGTGGAATTGCATCGTTTATTTTATATATCTTATAAATATACTCTGAACAACTTCATGCTAGGTATTTAACATTTTAATAGTTGGTTGCATTGTTTCACATAAAAATAATCTGAACGACTTTATGGTATGTATACATATATTCTGAACCACTTAGTTTTAGATATTTAACACTGTTACATGATACAGTGAGCAAACCTTGGATTAATTAAAGACGTTCATCTGTCTGCATTCTATTTCACGTCTTCAATCAGGTAATTTACTGTGAATGTATAAACTATCCACAATCATAAAATGTACAACTATTGTAGGAGACCGTATAGGGAACTGGTCTAGTTGGTGGACAAGTCCAACACATCTGTCATTAGTCTATCGTCGTTCATACGTAACCCCATCCTCGATATCTAGGGGTTACGCTCACTTTCGATCTCTGCACCCCTGGAGACATCCTCGATACCCAGGGGTTACGCTCACTTTCGCTCTCTACACCCCTGTAATATGTCATAGCAAAGTTGAAGGCTCAGTGTGCTCCATCTTGTTGATGAGACTAGGAGACTAGTTCGATCCTTTGATGTACATCAAAAGAATCTCGCGGTCATGTAACGGTAAAAAATGACAGGCTTTGAAGTCGGGCGTCTCTCCTTTGCAATCTTCAAAGGACAGGTATCAGCCTGGCAATTGGTCAGTATTTTGTTCCCGAGACCAATCAAACAGCTATTTTCGTGCCTTCAATTTTTCCATGACATATTCCAGGGGTGTAGAGAGCGTAAGTAAGGTAACCCCTGGAGTATTGAGGATGACGTAACCCATGCTGCTGTCTGTCTGTAACACACTGGTTCTCCAGAGAGTGAACATTGGTAACAACACATCCAATAGTTTATGTATAAGCTTTATCAACGTCAACCTAAGTTCCTACATCTCCGTAAATCTGAGCTGAATCGGTCGAACTAGCACAGTTAAAAGGGTTTTTTTCTGTAGGAGACAAAAGACAGACATGTCAAATCCTTGTCGTCAGTGAGGACTATGTGATATAATCATTATATATATATACATTTATACAGGACATCCACCATGGCAAGCTGGTAAGACAAATAATTAAATAAAACAAGGACACCAAATCTGAATTGAATATGGCCGTTTATTACAATAAACGACGGTTGTTATGACGTTCACATTTTGTCATATAAATAGACCCAAAAAGTCTTAGATGGGGGTCCTATTCCGCCATACACAATATAATTGATGCAATATTAATGCTAGTTGTAATACATAATTTTTACACACAAATACATGATATAACATCGATACATT